TCATTATGATTCCAATTTGAAGCCTGGGATGGTTCAACTTTCTAACCTTGAGAGTTCATGGGGTAAATCAAGTCCAATTTGGGTGATCTATATCGTAAGACTCAAAATTTCAATCTCTTCTTATCTGTAGGGTCCAAAAGAGGTGTCCTAATGTCCAAATTTTATGAGATTGCCAAAGTGCCCCTGGGTTGGTTGTGAGATTGGCTGAAGCATTACTTTAAGCTTTTGAAGTGCTAAAAAGAGATAAAGACTATGAAAGGGTGCAAGAATGTGGTGTCCAAAATAGGCATAGTTTCTCTTACTCAAAACCTTTCATGTTGAGCATGCTTGGTTTAGAAAGGCTTCCTTTGAACATCTAAGTTAAAGAGGCTTACTTGTTCCCTTTACACCCAAAACACTAATAAACTCTAAACTTTAGCTACTCAATGGAATCATTTATTCTTCAAAAAATATATTTCCTAAAATGCATAAGGTTATCAAGTGTCTTGCTGGCGTCCAAAGATACCTAGAGTATCATCCCTCAATTGTCCTTGCAAACTTGGAATAATAGTTTAAAGATGAATACATAACTACTCTAAGGAAGAGGAAACCTTATAGAAACAAAAGTCAAGAATCATGTAGATTAAATAGGGACACCTCAATACGAGATTCTTTCACATGACAACTCTCAAGCATAGATTCCCTTAAAATTAACCCTCAAGGCCCTATCTGTTGGTGGTAAGTTACTTATTTGGGTAAATACATGTATTTTTGCCAAATGGGTAAGTGAGTGAATTTCCTAAAGGATCTCTATTTTTTGTTGGCAAGGATATTATAGTCCTACACAATTTGGACAATTTTATTTTCCTCTTCCATAGGTAAGTAACTTAGTAACTTACCCACCCCTCAAGTGGATAAAATTTTACCAGGTAAGTTATTAAAAACTTACGCAGGGGGAATTTTGTTTTTGTTAGACCCACATTTCACTCCTCTCAAACCTACCCCAAATGACCAGGGCCTAAGAGTGGACCTATGACACCTAGGGGTGTCCATGAAAAACCGAAAAAACGAACCGAATCGAGTTAACCAAATTGATCGGTTTGGAATTTTTGAAAAATCGAAAGACCAGTTCGATTTTCGGTTACCCTACAAAAAAAACCGGTGGTTAACCAAACTGATCGGTATATATATTTATATGTATATTTTATATATTTTTTTAATGTCACATATTTTCTATATATTATATATAAATATATACTTATATTATATTTATAATAATCTATTTATAAATATTATATATATATATTATAGATTTTTAAAATATTTATAATATATTATATATAATTTATTATTTATAATATAATATTATATATTTATATAATATATATTATTAATATAAAAAACCAAAAAATCGAAGAACCAAACCGATCAAAAACCAAAACCGGCAGACCGGTTAACTGGTGGTACCGGTTCAGTTTCAATTTGGAGAAATGGATAAACAAAGTTTTTTTCTTTGACGTCACCCTTGAAGAGATTAAAGAAATAGTCTAGTCCCTCCCTAAAAATGAAAGTTAGGGCCAAGTGGCTTCACTATTAGACAGTGTATGCCATTAACTCTAATCAAATTGATGTATACAAACATTTATGAATAATATAAGTACATTATTGTTTCATGATCACATTTACTATGTTTCTGTGAATTACTCCTTAAACTAAACATGTATGCAACTCGTGTTGGTTTAGAATGTTCTTAGCCATTGGATAGATTTAGTGAGTTTATCCTAACAATGTTAACATTGATGTATCGCCAAACTGGTAAAACAGCTTGTTTCAGTTGCTAAGATTAAACCCTAAGCACAACCAGTAGGTGCTTGGAAGAAACACTGAACCCGAACCAATTTTCAGTTATGCCTTGGACCTTGGAGATAGATGGGCGAAAATAGAAAGTTACACTTAATCCTAAACTTGATTATGATACTACATTAGGTTTTGAACTTAATTATCTTTGGTGTGCCAATCAATGAGATCCATTAAATGTCAAATATCAAGGCATGTTAAGGCAGTTTAGGAAATTACCAAACTAAATGATCATAATGATAGGATCGACTCCTTTGTTAGACAAAGTGAATATCATGGTTTACATTCTCTCTAATGGAAACCTAAATTGTTGGCAAGGGATTTCAAAATGTATTTATATATTATATTACTATTTTATGAAAAAGGTTTCCTGATATCCATCTGAGTAAAGAGTTTACCAGTGCATTTTTGCAATCAGGGAAGAGTTCTTTCCTTGTGAGCAGTGTTTTAATGATTATGGACCGAGAAGCTATGTATAAGAAACCATTATAGGGTTAATTACCTAATGGGCTTCGTCTTGCATAAGTCTATTGTCCTTGAGTTTTCATACGGTGACTAGATCCAACAATCATTTACATATAAATGTTGGGCCCAACTGAGCCCAAACTAATTGGGTCAAGAGTTCACTACCCTTGAGCAATGAATTTGGCCTAACCTCTTCCAAAGGTGGAGTTGAACCCTTATGTACTTTTATGGGACCTTTGTGGGTCCCATGTCATATAATGTTCAAGCTTACATGGCTTTGCAATGCATAGGAAAGTGAGCCATTAAAGAAAATGGGTCTAAGGCCCCATTACTAATATGATTAGTTAAGTAGAGATAGATGTCATGTGGCGAATATGGATCATTTTTTTTATAAATAAACGAATATAGGTCATGGATATGAGTATGAAGCACCCATTCTTCTAATAAGATAGAGTTTATCCATTAGGATAAATCCTAATCCAAATCTGATTTAAATTTAGCTCCTAGTAGAACTAGGAGAGTGCTCTATATAAGGGAAGATATGGATGGGTAAGCCATTCTATCCTAAGCTCTCTTCAGCTCTCTCTCTCTCTCTCTCTCTCTCTCTCACACACACACACACACACACACACACCTCCCTTGCTCCCATAAAACCTAGTTTGTTCCAACCCTAGTAAGAATTTTTTTTCCTTCAGTTCCTAGCTGTGTTTTTGGAGAAAAACATCAGTCCTAAGAAAGTTCACACTACCGCATCGATCCCAAAAAGATTGAAGGTTGAAGTGCAGAAACTACATTACTGAATTGGCTTCACTTCAATGTTGTGTCATCTTCAGCGGGAGGCCAATCCAGGTCTGACATTGGGCATGAAATACCATTTTGGCACCTGCATTTGTGAACTCCGTCATAGGTGTGATCAAAAATTAATTTGAGTTTCAAATCTAGTCCGGTTCAATTCAAGATCGATCCCAAAATTTCATATTTCAAAATTACTAGGAAACCAGTTCTCGGGTTGAGTTAAAAAATTTAGAAACTCGGTCAGCCACTAAATTTGGTTCAACCATATCTAATCTGATTTCTAACCCTTCCAATACTCATAGAAAAAAAAATCTTATTAAATACTCGAATATCCTAAGCCCAAATGTCACCACTTCATGCTAGATTATTTTGAAACAAATAAAAACCCTGAAAAGTTTTACAATACGCTCCTAGTAGTAATCCCTAGGGTTGTGTTTGGTTTGAAGGAAAAGGTAGGGAAAAGAAGGGAAAGGTAAAGAAACATTTATAAACATTTATAAACATTGTATAGGTTTTCCTACCTTTCCTTTCCTTTCCTTTCTTTACCTTTTCCTTCAAACCAAACATAGCCTAAAGAATTTCATCTACAAACCATTACTCAATTGAGTCTACAAAACAATTCTTAAAATTAAGCCAAAAGTTCAAACTAATCCTGCCCCGAAATCATTCCCACTAACCAAACCAATTTTGTGACCAATAGACATACGGGATAGCATACTATTAATGCATGAAACTCTTCACTAATGGGTTTCCATGGTGTTATGGGGATCAAACTTAAAACAAAATGGGTTTCCAAGTTGTAATGATGATCAAAATAGACCTAAAAATGTTTTTGATAAGATAGAAAATAAAATCTTTGATGTCGGAAAGATATGGAAAGGCTTTGACAAATCATAATCCCATAATCCAATCCACCACAACCCGATCCAATCCGTAAGTTATGAAATATTATACATTATATATTATTTATATAATATATATTGCATATTATGTTTTATATATTATAATATATTATTATATTATATAAATAATATATTTTTTGATGAATTATTATATAAATAATATATTTATATTATAAATTTTTTTATTATAATTCTAATTGAATCGATTTGAGTCAGATAACTGATAAGCTATTGTAATGTTCTGGGTAGCGAAGTCTCAATACCCTGACTGATGTGGTGCTCACATGATGACAAATACAAAATTTTCATCAAATAGTGGTGCTTGTGTTTCAACTCAAGAACATTGTAAGTTGAAACACTAACTGTACCAACCACAACCTAAGGCTGCATTTGAAAATGATACAAATGGAGTGTAAATCCTATGTAAAAGTACATCAATAAAAAGAAATAAATTTGCATTCAAGTGGGCTTTTGATAAAAAAAAAAAAAAAAAAAAAACATATGCTTTATTAGAATTCATGTTTGCATTTGTTGCAGCTAAAAGTCTGTTTGGTAAGAAGATAAATTTATCGATGCAAAACTAATCCAATTTTACAATTTATATTAACTGTTTTACACTCTACATATTTACATTCACACTTGTTTGCATCATTTCCAAACGCAGCCTAAGAGTAATATTCCCTTCAACTTAGGTTCAGTCGGATGAACTCTAAAAGAGGTTAATTCTATTAATTCTCCTATCAAGATTGAACGCGGGAGTTATTTTGTACAGTGAGTTATATGCGTCAGAGATAACTTAGTGGGGTCATATAGCGATTTCCTTTTTGTATATCTGATCGTACATCCTTTGACACACCTCTTCGTATGCCTTAAAATGAAGAGTTTTATCAAAAAAGAGACGCAATTCGCCTACTCCAGACCATCTGAAGACATGATAATAACTGAAATGACAAGGCAAAAATCATCAAAGTAAAACAAAAAAAAAAAAGCAAGAGTAACGTCTAATTATGACCTTGGAGCTGATGCTGGTAACATGATAATAAATGCTAGATTTGTAATTTCTGTGAAGCCATCAGGGTCTATATAACAACATTTGAACCAAATGGGTGTGGGATAAACATAGGCACCTGCAAATTTTAAGAAACTGTACATCACAAAAGCTCTAATGAGTGAAACCAAAATTAAATACTCACACCAGGTTCCTGAGGTACCTCATTCCAAGAGGTTTCAAAATCAAATACAACCATTGCAGGATCCACTGAGGAAGATTCAGGCAAGACAATATCTGGTTCATATGGTACACAATCTTTTGTAGTCCCCATAACGGACTGATGGTCAGGATAAGGCCAGTTCTCCATACAGAAGTCTGATGGAACAGAGTTTGTACTACTAGTATATGGGGGATTGGACTCTGTGATAGGAAATGAATAGTCAAAGCTTGGCTTTACACTTTGAAAATTGGAATCTGCTTCTGGGGGAAGTTGGATGCTCTCCGTTGTATTGTTTATCTCTCTGAAGATTAAGTCCAATGGATTCAGATTTGTGGCATTTGGAGATGGATTTGCTTGTAGGATTGTATTATGGCTTTCACTTAGTTGTAAAGTAGGCTGACTACATGACTGAGGTTGAGAGGAAATAGTATACGACTGGAAGTATGCAAAATTGCTGCCCATGCTTGTCTGGGAGGAGCTTTGGCATGACTCCAGCTCTAGATTGTTGACTGTAAGAAAGTCCTGCCAACTGGTTTTACAACCTTCATGGGGAGCATAACTCCTTGGCTGCTGTGATTTAGAGACAAGATTATTACTATTACTTGGAAAACCATTTCCAGGTCCATGTAGGTTATGTAATAAACCACATCCTGTGGTTCCTGCCCTTTTACTTTTCGTATGGTAAGGAACAAACCGAGGAACCGAAGTGCCAGATCTGCCACTTGTCTCCTTTTGGATGAGATTGTTCATAACAGGCATCAATTGAGATCTACTCAGATGTGGTGACAATCTGTTCCTGTGCTGGATGACTCCTGCCCGGCGGTTACTACTCCTGGGGCTTATGATGTTTGACATGCCAAAATTGGAAGCTGATGAGCAAGCATGGGGCTGGGCTGAATTGGACGATGAGTGAATTGGAACAAAACCTTGGTTGGGAGGTACCAATTGATTGGGTGTTTGAACCGTGTTAGAAGAGGGTAGCATCATGGAGAGAGCAGTGTTGGGAAGCTTTGGGACAGGTGGGGGCACTGTATTGCCTTGTTTAAGATGTTTCCTCTTTACTCTCCATATCTGCTCTTTATCAGTAGCATGACAATGGTCAGTACTGGAGAGACCGTAGCCCCAGGAGGCACATGGAGCATGAATCTCACATACATAGCAATGGCACTGCATTTTCCAAAGCAGATGCATCAAAATACTAAAAGGAAATCACTTCTCAGGAAACAGAAGATATTTAGAATAGAACCTAAAATAGAAAATCTTACCCATTTATAAAAAAGAAGAAATGGATGAATCGTCCAACACCCTGATTTTATATTTCCAATCCTACCCCTCCATGATTTTATATTTCCAATCCTATCCCCTCTTACGAAAATAATAATAGTAATTTCTGAAAATAAATACAAATAATTAATTTATTAATAAATTACTATTACTATTTATCAATAATTTTTATAAATTTTAGTAATTGATTGTTGGTAAAAGATATTGAAATAATTACATTTCTAAAAATTATAATTATGATTTCAGATAATTATAAATTATTGATTAATTTCATTTGAAAATGAAAGATAGTTTGGTGTAGTTTTTTTTTTTGAAATTATGGATAATTTATTGATTATTCAATAGATTACTGAAATTATTGAAAATTTATTAATTATTCAACCAATAAATAATTACTGAAAATTAATAATTGATTATTCAGAAAATTAGCGTAATTCTCATTATTACATTTTCATAAAATTATTGATTAATTTTAATTGAAAATAACAGATAACTTAGTGCAATTTTGGAATTTTATGACATTTTTTACTGTTTGGAATATTATGGAAAATTATTGTAATTATTGAAAATTTATAATTATGTTATCATAATTTATAATTATTGAAATTTTTATTATTATCAATGTAATTATAATTATTACACTAAAATAATTGTTAATGTAGATTAACTAATTCCTTTTTTCATAATCTCAAATAGTAATT